CCAGTATATGCACCCTACTGCTGCCATGGTTTTTCCACGGATGTGGTTCAGCTTCGGGTTGTGGTCGATGAGCTTGGTGGAACCTCAAAGCCCAGGGGATCGTCTGCATCGTCGGGTTATTGAAGAGGTGATTGTGATTTGTTGTGAACTCCATTCGGCATTCCAAGCATCGTCATATTATCATCAGGGTTGAAGTTGTATTGACAACAAAGCAACTGATCACAGCTCACTGGAATGCCTGGACTCTGTGCTGCTCTCCACAGCTGAAGTGAGAGCGATACTCATTCTACCTGTTTCTTCATTCACCGACCACATGTATTGTGGGTGGAACGGTGAGACGAGGTGCATACTGTTCATCACAGTAGCAGCAGCAGTCTGGAGAGAAGCATTAATCGGTGGTGGGGAAAGGGGCTTAGAGTTAGCATCACCTCAAAGAGACCTTCAGATTGCCTAAGCTGTTACAGCCGCAAGACAAGGTGGTGACACGTTACGATGGGCCACGTTCACATCTTGACAAAATGGGCAAATTGTTTTTGTCAACTCAAAGATGTGCGCAGTTGTTGGTGATAGGCAGATGACCGTAGGGTTTTTGTTCAAATTTTTACAGAAAGGGCTAGTCGCCAAGGATGTATCGAGTGTGAGGTTGAGTAAATATAAAGGATTGTGAAAGATGTTTCGAGATTATTGACTTGCACTTTTTTTTTACTGTAGATTCTGGTTCCTGACTTTCAGAACCGTGTTCATAGCACACGAAGAAGAGAGGTCAGAGCGTTAGAGTTAATTAGGTTTGGAGACTGCATTTGATAACATGTGGCCCTGATTAGAATAAAAAAATTATAATATTTTCTGATGACCAGTTTTTAAATAGGCATTTTAATAATTAGTAGTAGCTATCGAGCAACAGTAGTAGCTATCGAGCAACAGACACATCCTTAAATAATCAATAAAGTATTCTAATATTAATGAATTTAAGTTAAAAGTAAATGTTGCTGGCGCCTTGCATTGTGGGAAGGTTTGTTTAGGGCAGACTCCTGCAAATGCATTCTTGGGCCCTAATGACCATTTCAATAAAATGTATTTAGCTGCCCTACATTCCTGAGGCAGAGAAGTCTGGGAAATAAAATGAACGATACAACTATAGAGCAGTTTTTTTACTAAAAATAATAAGGTTTGATCAGCACTCAATGACAAAGCTCCGTCTGATGTGACGGGAGGCTGCTCATTCAGTGCTGCTGCTGCTGCTGGAACGATATTCAGTATAAGCGTGGCGATGGGGTGCTGTCCACGCTTGATGTCATCCTATTTAATTGGTACGAGCGAGGACCCTTTTGGCAGCCTTTTGGATGAGTTGATTACGTTGAGTGAGAGAGACGGAAATTGTAGTAATCTTATCTGGAGGTTACAAAGGCACGAATTAAGGTTTCAGGAGCATAGTAAGGTAAGTTACGGATCCATGGACATTTTATGCGGGTGATGGGAAGCAGATTTAGAAGCCTGAGAAATATATATGTTGAACTTCTTTCACACCGTTCGTAGCCAACCGTGATAATCAAAATATATTGAGAAACAGATAGCTCCGAGTCGCGCAGGAGGACGCTAAGCTGACACACGACGATATCGCAAGTCGGTGAACAGCAGGTGATTGGAATCGTGTACGAGTAGATCTGTTTGTTATTGAGTTGAAGACAATTTGACACCATCTGCTCGGGGACAGCGGGGACACAGGAAGAGCGGGGAGAGAGAGAGGATCTGGGGCATTGAGCTGCGTGTGGGCGGCAAAGAAGTGATGACCAATCTCAAAACTCAAGATAATTTCATCTCGAGGAAGAAGGAGTACATGGCTAGGAGTCGAGGACTAAGCATAGAGCCCAGAGGAACACCATACTGCAGAGGTTTGCACGATGGGGGTATTCCCTGGTTAGAGGACGAAGCAATTCCGGTCAGATGGAATGCGCGAAGAACCACGCAAGGAGTGGATTAGAGATGCCCACATGTCTGTGTTGGTGGATTTGTGGCCTTCTGATTGTTAAACCGTGAGATCCAACCATAGCACCACCTAGTGAGGTGTTTCATTTTATATATATAAGAAGAGACTTGTTTTATATCGCCAGTGCTGTTGAAAATGTATTTTAATCAGGCTGTGTGTAGTTCATTGCTGCATTTCCCTGCAGTGAAATGCTTGACTCGCATAGTAATGATTTAATTTTGTTGGCTACACACATAATTATATTCCAGTTGTACATTAGCAGTGTTAACACATACCTGTTGAGAACGCTCCACGGCAGAAATCCTGATAACACACAGAGCACATTGTGAAACGACTTAGAAGTCATCGCATTTACTTTAGTGCAATCATTAGTCCGACCTTTAAAATAATTACATTTATTACAGAACATTTTTTTTGCGTAATCGCAGCAGTCAATAAGCTCTCTGAAGCAGTAACCCTGCATCATTATGGATAATGTATTTAGTCTTGTAAACGTAACTAGGTATACTCTTTGGTTCTATTCGGTAAAGTCACGTAGGTAAAAAATTAAAACAACAAAAATCACGACGTTTCGGCCACAACACAAGCGGCCTTAATCAGGTGAAGGGACCAACCTGTCCAGCACTCCAACGCTGTCCGGTGGACAGGTTGGTCCCTTAACCTGATGAAGGCCGCTTGTGTTGTGACCGAAACGTCGTGATTTTTGTTGTTTTAATTTTTTACCTACGTGACTTTACCGAATATAACCAAAGAGTATGGATCCTTGCAGTCACGAAAGCTTCAAATCTACAAGTAACTAGGTATGTACAACGTAGCGGTCATTCCGCAGTCATATGACGCCACCATTCCCCCCCCCATGTACGTAGTTTATGGTTCAGTGGGGTGTTAAATCACTGACTTGGACAGTTCAAGCCTTGCAGAATTTTCAGCCGAGATTCATGAAAGAGCTCTCAGTCTTATGTACAAGGGAATGTGGAAGACAGAACTCGTGACATCAACATTCGTTATCCAAGTGCGCTGACACTCGCCAATAATATAAGCACATCGAGGTAGGGTTTACGTGTCACTCGGAGATCTGACCGACAGAGTGACACGCTGTCCTGGATGAAGCAGGACCAGCGAGTACGGTTCTGACTCGTCCGTGAGGAGCTTGAGTGTTATATCTCCTTGTGGTTGTGGGGCTTTCTCTGGGCACTCATTTCCTACCCCACTCAATAATTAAATAGCCAAACTTGAAAATGGCATTGAGACTGAGCGAGGCGTTTGCAGGTCGTTCTTGGTAGTGTTGAGGAAATAAATCCCCACATCACGAAGCATTCCCAGGGTATTCCCAGGTCCCAAATGGATTCATCTACTGAATCAAACTCGCCCATTAGTGGTGCCAAGAGGCGCCACACGATGCCGTTAATTCACGCAGGAAAACCTCGGGTGTGTCACGTGACTCGATCAGGAGGGGTTTGGCCTGTCATGTTTGTGTCATTTGCGCTTTGCTGCAAGCGCGTTTGTGTAAACATTGTGTATACTTACGCTGTATTACTGAATACGGCTAATTGAAGAAGAGAAAACGCACGTTCCACACTGTGCGATGTTCCCCCGTTTACAGCAACGACACATATCATGGACAGCCTTTGCGCACATGTCGAGGGGAAACCATTTTCTCGTGCTCCATCGCATTTGGTGTCGACGTGCCTGCAGGAGTGTAATGGGCGCAGAAGTGTGCCCTCACCCGGATGGGATGTGTTGTTCACACGCGTGCCATCGGTGAGGCCCTCCCTACCTTGCACGTTGGATCCAATTCTACAGTGAAACGAGCTGCTCAATGACGTCACTTTCACACTCGCTGCAAACAGAAATCCATCCGGGTGGCAATTTAACCCAGAAGCTTGTTGCAAGTTCAAGTCCCGATTGGAGGACGACTCATGCCGTCCGTTGCACTGGGGGTCGATAAAACGGAGTACCACTTTGAGACAAGTCAGTAGTGACTGTCTGGTGGGGCCCCTACCACGGGAATGTGGAATTTATACCGCTGGCTCCCGGGTCACTACATAAATAAGCATTGAGCATTGTTTATTTGAGGAAGGGGAGACACTGGCGTTCGCTTGAATAGGAGAATAGATGTGTGTGCAGGTCTGGGACCTCCCTTCGTATTGAACTAAACACCACGTTGGCTGCTCTGTATAAACACAGTACATTTGTGAATGTGCTGCTGGATGAGGGCAGGCAATGACGTTCATTAAATTATACTTCGCCACGCTGGTTCGCACAAGTTAGTGAATGAGGGAGAAGTACAGAGCCAATAGATTGAGCTGCACATCCCTCTGCTGCCCACAATGGCCACAATACCCACAATACCTACTACTCCTGTTGTATGCATGGTGGTCACCCATCTAAGTACTAATCAGGCTCAACCTGATGAGCTTCTCAGGGCTGAAGGGATCTTCTGGTGCATTCGGAGCGATTTGGTCACAGCAGTGCACTTCTGTAATAATCTAAAAATCCCACACATGTGAGTTCGAAATGAAATATATAGATTTAAATTAAATATTGTGATTTAAAGCTTTCGTGACTGCAGGGATTCATATTCTTGGTTCTTTCCGTAAAGTCACGTAGAAGGGAATCAATAAAATAATAAAAATGTAAAACAATATATTTTATATTTTTATTATTTATAATATACATATTGCGTTAATGTTTATCCAGATGTGTTCTTCCACATGCAGGGCACATTGCACTTAATCAGGAGCACAGTGCCAAATCACATTGTTTACCCCTTTTGGTATAGTTGCTGTGTGTGGATAACTAAGTATCGGCGAGGTAGACATAATTAACTAATTACAATTGTTATTTCAACTGCATAATGCTATGGATAAATAATGGTGCTTGCCATAGCAACGGGAAATATCCACATTTGACTCTACAACGGAGATGAGCCACTGGCCCTCTCTCGTGAGCGTTACACAGAAAGGTCAGTGGTCTCATTGAACGCTCCCTTGTTTTTCCTTCCTTCGCACAGAAGAAGGAATGGCTCTGCCTGACGTGCAACACGGAGAGGCTCATGACGGGGCAGTTGGGAGATCTGGACGCCCCTGGTTTCCCTCCGCAACAGCAGCCCGCATCTCACCCCACCAAGTTCGTGCCGCCATCTCCCCAGAAACAGCCACCCTCCTCATCGGCATCGCCATCCTCGTCTCCGTTCAAGTCGCCGGCCAAGCAACCGTCTGCTCAAAGCCAAGGGCTGCAGCAGCAGAAGCAGCAGCAAAACGAACGACCATATGCCACTGTGACATCGGCTGCAGCAGCAGCAGGGTCTGGGATGTCGGTGGTGGAACCCAACGTACAGCTGCCAGCATCGTCCGTGCTGCTGTCAGATGGTTTGCATCATCAGCCAGGTGGAGGTGGTGCGATGGATGTTAAGTCGGGGCTGGCTGTGGCTCAGAAGATGGACATGCAGCAGCAGCAGCAGCAGCCTGGCTTGGTGAGCTGATAATAGTCAAACAGTAATGCCGTGTTATGTAGCTGGTACAGATAATCAACAACAAAAATGTCATCCTGTGTTACAAGTGGTGCGTAAGCACAATGAACAAAAATACACCAATAGCACTGCCCCAATTGTCAATGTTTCCTCTATATGGCAGTGTTATTGAGGAATGTGTTTTGAGTTTTGGTACAGCTCAATAGGCCTGGCCACAGCTTCAGTTCCTACAATTCTCAGCATTCACTCTAAGGGCCTACAGCTCGGAGAGACAAACTACGACAAGTCCACACAAACAAAACTGACAATAGCTAGATATTCTTGGTTCTTTCGGTAAAGTCACGTAGAAGGGAAACAATAAAATAATAAAAATATAAAACAATTAAATTCTCACGACGTTTCGACTGCAACACAAGCAATCATCATCAGGTGTGAAAACCACAGCAAGAAAATTTGAAAAAGTGGCGGGTTTTTTTTTTACGTTAGCACCACGGAGAGCGATTTGGCAGTTATTCAGATGGACAAGTCCATCTATGTTCGGAAAAGATAGCAAGATAGATTACACCAAACAAGATGCAGCGGTTAAGTTGTTGTAGAGGGCAGATATTCATGGCATTTTTCTTCGAACACAACTTCAGAGTGAGAAATATGCACAGTTGCAGATAATGCATTTCAAACTTGGTAACCTCTGCAAATAAACATCCGGTTTGTTGCTTAGTTTGGTAAAATGCTTTGGAAATATCACCCTGACTACACAAACTGTTCTGGTGTTCATGTTCATACACCTCTTGAATATTGGCCTGCAACTTATTTGGCAAGTGATCATTCGAAAACATAAAATAAATGACAATGAACAATTCAAAAGTAAAGTATCATTGCATTGGTGTTTGCAGTGACTGATAATGGATCAACTGTAATTTTTTTTCTTTCTCCCAGGGAATGGCGGCGAGTCAGAAGCAGCTCGATAGTCAGGTAAAAGATGTGCCGGCTGACAAGAAGAAACAGGCGGGCAAACGGTCTGCGGTCACATCGGACAAAGACAACAAAAATCTCCTGCAGAAGCCAAAGGCCAACAACAAGGGGCAGGACAAGACGAGGCAGGGCCAGAGCCTGCAAAGGCACGGGGAGGCTCAGGGTAGAGACAGGCGGCAGAGGCCTCGCTCTCTCTCCATCACGCCGGAGTCGTACAGCTCGGGCGAGGAGGACGCGCGGGACACGAAGGAGGTGGACGAGGGCGTGATGGACATGGACAGCACGTTGAGGAGCCACTCAGACGCCAGCCGCCGCGAGAGCCTGGACTCGCTGGATGAGGAGCTGGCGAGGATCCAGCGGCACGACATGGTGGAGGACAGCAGCGAGAGCACGCCATCGCCTCTGCCGTACGGCAAGGGCTTCGTGACAACGACGGCGGCGACAACGACAGCGGCATCGACAGCAACGTCTGCGGAGGGGGTGGCGGCAGTGACGACGGCGGCGGGAGCATCAAAGGGCCAGGGCGGCCAGCAGGCCCGAGGCAAGGAGCCGGTGCAGCCCGAGGACGAGGACGAGGACTTCATCCGCAGACAGCTCCTGGAGATGAGCGCCGATGAGGGAGGCTCCGCGTCCGAGGAGGAAGAGGAGGATGAGGACGATGACGATGTGAAAGGGCGGCCGGCGGGTGAGAGTGGAGAGAAAGCATACCAGAAGAAAGACGCGGTGAAGGGGAACGAAGCAAAGTTCGGGCAGTATCAGGATACAGGCGGTTTGGGCTTAGCTGGGAGCCCCGGTGACGATGTGTTTTACGACAAAGAGCCAGAGCTGGAGATGGAAAGTTTGACGGACACGGCGGAGGACCGGTCTCAGGGCGATGGCTCGTCGAGCTACCCGGCGGCTTCGAGCATGACACCAGGCAGTGGCACGTCGCCCTCTGTGTCCTCTCTGGAGGAGGACAGCGATGGCAGCCCCAGCCGTAGGCGCAAACCCGAGGAGGTGAAGAAGCAGCGGAAACCCAAGCACCACTCGCACGGCCCGCAGCTGCCGACCATCGAAGACTCGTCGGAAGAAGACGAGCTGCGGGAGGAGGAGGAGCTCCTCAAGGAGCAGGAGAAGCTGCGGGAGCAGGAGCTACAGCAGAGGAAGAACCTGGGCCGCAAGTCGAAGCGCGATAAGGAGGAGCTGAGGGCGCAGAGGAGGCGGCGCTCCAGGGCGTCTCCCAGCAACCTCTCTCCGATTGAGGATGCATCGCCCACCGAGGAGCTGAGGCAGGCAGCCGAGATGGAGGAGCTGCACCGCTCCTCGTGCTCCGAGTACTCGCCCAGCATCGAGTCCGAGCCGGAGGGCTTCGAGGTTTACACGGAGAAGCTCTACAAACTGCAACAGGAGTTCAACATGCTCACAGCTCAGTCCCTGAGCAATGTGAGCGGCCAGGATGGGATGGAGCCCGGTAGGCTTCAACGAGAGGACACATCGGACAAGCTCCTGCGCAGCGCCGAAGAGGTCTACGAGGAGATGATGAGGAAGGCCCGGCTTCTGCAGAGCCAGCATTCGGGCCACCAGGAGTTTACGCAAGGCATGGACAACAGCCAGTGCGACGATCCATCGCAGCAGACCGACCTGGCCGACAGTGGTCAGGACTCGCTTTACAGCATGGACGAGGACATGGAGAGGGGATCTCACGGGTGGCAGTCGGTGGGGCCATCCAAGAGCTCCAATGAGATCTACGACGAGATCTCCCAGCGTCTGCAGGAACTGCAGCAGAACAACCGGTCATACAGTACAACGTCGCTCAAGCTGGAGCTGCGCAGCAAAGAAGAAATTGACAGCGGCAACATCTCGGCGAGTTACTCGGACACCGCCCTGGTGTCTAAGCAGGACAAGAAGCTGCTGGACGCGGACGCTGCTTACGACGAGCTCATGAAGAGGCACCAAGAGATGCTCACTCCAGGGACGAGCCCCACGCAGCCGTCCTCCCCGATGACCCCGCCTCACCAGATGGAGCACACAGCAATCTGTTTTCCCACACAGATTATATACAACAACCAGAGTGTGCCAGCCGTTCAGATCACACAGCACTTCTCGACAGACGATGACGGCGCTGCAGGTCCGGCGGTGGCGGCGATTAATCAACCGGGCAGAGCAGCCACGTCTGCTTCGGGGTCATCATCATCGGCGTACGTGAGACCTTCTCAAAGCTTATCTGGTGCGATGACAAAACAGACATCTGTGGATTCTGCAACGGCACAAGGCTCCGCGCCATCGTCGACGCAGACCGCCGGAGGGGTTTCGGCGACGAAGGCTTCGGCGTCGGTCACGCCCTCCGCACGCCTCACCAGGCAGCAGAGCTTGCAGGGTAAACAGAGCGGGTTTGCAGCTGATGCTAAGAAACAAGGAGCGTCGTCACTGCAGCGATCCAGCTCCGTCACGTCCGATGATTACGAGTCAACTTCTCGTGCTGCGGCGGGATCCGGAAATCTGATTCAGCAAGGTCAGAGGGGTAGTGGCGGCGCCAGGCAAGGAGGGCATTCCAGCTGTGGACCGGGCACTTCTGTCAAAAGTGCCGGCATCTCGATGGTGAACAGAACGTCGCAGACGGGCATTGGCCCCAGCGCCAACATGAAACACGCACAGACGAGCACAACTCCCGTCGGCACCAGCGTCATGGATCTGAGATCTTCCACGATGCTTGCCAAGCACGTTATGACCGACGGCGGGATGGATTTAACTTCTTTCAGTGGGGAAGGGAGGCGTTATTCCCTCCCAAGTGAGGACTCCATCAGGCACGTCATCTCGTCGGGCGTAATGAATCTGAGCGCCGTCGGCTCGGATCAGCCGCAGCCAGTCACCGTGTTCAACCCGGCCACTCACACTTCCGGAGCTTACAACGCCGTGTCGCAGCCCCCGCCGTACCAGCCGGGCGATGGCACGGTGCACAAGCCGCTCGACCTGGTGTCCAGCTGCCCCTCTCGCAGCTCGGTCGCGGTGGATGCGACGCGAGCGCCTCCCAAGTCGATGACTGCCACCGCTGTCCAGACGGACAATGATGACGACGAGGAGGAGGACGAGGAGGAGGAGGCCATCCAGACTCCACAGCGGCGCACGCGGCAGTCCATCTCACACGGGGAAGGCCACCACCACCACCACTGCGGCAGTGGCGGTGCGAAGCCACACGACACGGTTGTCACCATGGACGATTCGGTGAACCGGGCCGTGACGAGGCTCGCGAGCAGGGACGTGGCCACGGACCCCGTGGACCTGACCGGTGGCCGGGAGGAGAGACGTGCCGTGTGCTGCGACGTCGTCTACAAGTTTCCCTTCATGAAGTCGGCCAAGAAGGAGAGGTCGTCTCCGGGCGTTCCCATCACGCCTCCGCCCCATCACCGGTTTGACCCGACCCACTACTACTATCCCGAGATTCCACCATCGCCGATGAATCCCAACTTCGTGCTGAGCCCAATGAAGTCGTCGTTTTCGGACACAAACCTCGCCGACATAGGGATGTTCTCCTACCGTAGTAGGAACAACGCGGAGTTCGATGGCAACGGCTCCGTGGTCGACCTGACATCCAGGAAAGGGATGCAGCGGAAGCCCGAAGGCAGCGAGTTGAGATACGACAGTATGTACGGGTCATCATCGGACCTCCGGTGGAATCAGGAGGAGCAGGACTACTACATGAGGCCCATGAGACGTTACAACTCTGACCTCAACATATCGAAGCTAGACCCGGAGTTTGACTACTACGGCAGAAATCTGTACAACGTGAGGCAGGCCAATGCGGGCTCCTGGCAGTCCACCGCAGATACGATCAGGGAAATCAACAAACTGTGCTCTGAGCTCAATGCCCTGCAACAGGAGTGGACGGCATACAGCGACCAGAGAGAAACTGTGCAGTTCGGCATGAGCCAGGCCAGCGCCATGCCCACGTTTGCCTCTCGCCCTCAGCAAAACGTGCCCATGGGCATGAAGGTCAATCAGCCATTCACTGGTCAACTGGGCCAAATGATGCCGAGACCTCAGCTGGGACAATTGCCATACACACTGCACGGCCAGTCGCTGCATGGCCAGTATTCGGACACGGTCAGTAAGCAGCTGGGCCTCTCGGGCTCGTTCAGGACGCCCGGCGGACTGCTGTACTCGACCATCACGACGCCAATCCTGTCCACGCTGCCCATCACCACGCAGCCATCCTCCATCATGCCGTCACCCTACAAGGACAACTATAGGCCCACCACCTTCACGCCGGCGCCACTGGGGCCCCTAAACCCACGCTACCCGCTCAACCGCTTCCCGGCACCCGCATATCCAAGGCCAGTGGGGATGCCGATGCCTCGGCAGGTGCTGCCACCGTTGGCGTACCCCGTGAGGGTCACGCAGGCCGAGCGGCCCGTGGGCAGCGTCACCAGGATGGAGTCGGCACCGCTTGTCAACAAAGCCGGTGCTGTGGCGCAGATGAGGCCCCCGCAGCCGGCCGCCACCGTCCCGCCTCAGTTCCACCAGGGCAGCGCAATGAGCGGCAGCCTCAGCTACTCGCAGCCGGCAGACAAGCTGCAGGCAGGTCAGCAAGTGGCGTCCTGCACGTACCAGATGGTGGGCGAGCAGGCAGCGGCCTTCACGAAGCAGCAGGTGCAGCCAATCCCTCTCATCAAGGGGGTGGCCGCGACGGCACACCAGCCCGTCACATCGGTGGTGCCCGTGATGCACATTGGCATCTCCGACCCCGGCCTCAACTTGACTGTGGTGGCTGAGAAGGCGAAGCCACCAGCGTCCGAGCGTGGGGAGCAGGCGATGGCCGTCCACGCCACGGCGCCTCCAATCCCGGCGGTGCCGCAAGTGGTGAAGGTGGACGAGGGGAAGAAGCGGAAGGAGAGTGAGGAGGTTAAAGTGGTGGTGCGGAGTGCGGAGGAGGAGGGGGAGAGGCGGCTGAGGGAGGAAGAAGCGAGGAAGAAGGCGGAGGATGAGGAACGGAGAAAGAGGGAGCAAGAGTTTCAAAGGATGCGGGAAATCGAAGAGGCACGGAGGAGGAACGAGGAGGAGCAGAGGCGGCTGCGGGAAGCGGAAGAAACGAGGCGGAGGGAGCAGGAGCAGATTCAGAAGAAGCACATGGAGCAGCAGCTGCTGATCCAGCAAGAGATCCTAGAGATCGAGAAGCTCAAGCAGAAGAGGATCCACGAGGAGCTTGAGCGGGACCGCTTGGAGATGAAGCAGCGCCTCGATCAGGAGAAGAGGCTCATGGAGCAGGAGCTGCAGGACTTGCAGAAGATGAAGCAGCACATCTTCCAGCAGCAGCAGGAGGAGCGCCAGGCGCAGATGTCGCTGCAGCAGGAGCAGATGGCTCAGCAGCGGATGCAGATAGAGAAGATCCAGCAGCTACAGCAGCAGCTTCAGCAGCAGCTCCAGGAGCAGAAGGTCAGACAGGTCGGCCCTGTGACGTTCGCTCATGACCCGGCAGCCGGAAGGTGGACACCGCAGATGGTCCAGGAGATGGAAGCTCAGGGCATCGCGAGCAGCCACTATTGGCACGGAGCTCCCCACGCAATGACGTCCGAAAAAGAGAAGGCCGCCAGAGGCCAGGGAGAGGGAATCCCTCATCAGCATCACCCACGTCACCCCGTGGCCATGTCAACGTCGGACACGCCGATTAAGGACGGCGGTTACAGGGGCAGGAAGGTGGTGAGGCGGCGGAGTTCCATTTCGGGGCCGAGGGTCTCCTACGACGAGGACGACGACGACGTGGGCGCGCCGTCCTCGTTCAGGGGGGCGAGGAGGTCCAAGATGGACAGCGGGGTGCAGACTGATGAAGAGGACACGGAGCGCTGCTTCGAGGGCCGCCGGAGGAGGGCGCGCCGGAGCGTCGACTGTGGCGTGCAGACCGATGACGACGAGGACGACTGCGGCGACGACTGGAGCCACCCGTCACGGCGCAGGAGGCCGAGGGCAGCCAGGTGTGCGGACGCCTGCGCGGAGCTCGACAAGTGCAGGCCCGCATCCAAGTCGATGTCCAGCATCGCCGTGCAGACCATCGCGCACCGCTCCGCGCAGACCGAGCCGGATGACATTGCCAAGTGCCCAGCGGTCGCCTTCCCCACGCTGTCCCGCACCGAGATTGTGCATCACATCTCGGCGCCCGAGCGTGGCACCAAGGGTGGCAGCCTGGCCTGCCAGACCGACCTGGAGGCTTGCATGCCGTTTTCACAGCAGCAGCAAGCCGCAGGCCAGAGTGTCTACTCTAAGGGCTGCTCATACTCGATGGTAACTCAGCAGCAGGAGCAGGTATCCACATCCTCGGTCTACAGGAAGCGACCCGCCCCGCTCGAGATCGCGTACGGAGCCGGACAGCAGCCGCCCGACTCGTCCGGGCACCAGCAGACCTCGCCCAAATCCCCCAAGGTGCTGTACTCGCCTGTCTCCCCCATCGGACAGAGCAAGCCGGCGCCATCGCCGTTTGGCTCCTACGACAAGCAGCACAGGGCGGTGCACGTCTCCCCGCAGAAGCACGCGGCGACGACGGTGGCCGCGTCGGTGCCCTCTATGCAGTCTGCGGCCACCCCCCGCGTGGTCGTCCACCACTGCTCTGCTGACACCAAACCGCTGGAGAGCAGTGGGGCCTACCAGAGCTCCGGCCAGCAGGTATCGGCTGCTCCACATCATCGGATTGTTACCTTAGTCTTTGGTTCTTTCGGTAAAGTCACGTAGGTAGAAAAATAACAGATCGCGATGTTTCGATCGCAACACAAGCAATCGTCATCAGATGGGATAACCACAGCAAGAAAAAACTGCTGAAGTAGGCGAGAGATCTGTCATGGTACGAGGCTATATAGTAGGCCTCGGCAGTAGGGGGGGAGAGAGAAGGGGGGGGGGGAAGAGGTGGGGCAGAAAGTGGAACCCGCAGCAGCCGAGGCCTATATAACCTCGTGCCACGGCAGATCTCTCGCCTACTTCAGCAGTTTTTTTCTTGCTGTGGTTGTCCCACCTGATGACGATTGCTTGTGTTGCGATCGAAGCGTCGTGATCTATTATTTTTTTACCTACGTGACTTTACCGAAAGAACCAAAGAGAATGGATTCCTGCAGTCACGAAAGCTTAAAATCAAGATTGTTACCTTAGGTTTACCTTATTATTATTATTATCATCATCATTGTATCCTGGTTGTGGAACAGTATGGTTTAGAGATGAAAACCGAGAAAATGTATAAAGGACAAAAACTTGTCAAACCTATTAACCCTAACAGTAAAGAAATATCTAGGAAGTGAAGAGGCTTGTAACAACAGATGGTGTCTCTAGTTGGGATGTGACTAGGCCGTGAGACTCGTTGGTAGAAACACCATCGACTTCCTTCTTGACAAGAATTGCATGAACACCGAATGTACACGATCGTCATTGTCGTCACCGATCGTTATCCCGCAGGACAAAACTCAGCAGAGCCCTTCGTTGGCACGGAAGGTGAAGAGGACGCTGCCCAACCCGCCACCCGAGGAGGCCGTCCCCACGTCTGCCCAGCTCCTGGCCTCGATGGGGCGAAGCCTATCGGGCCAAATCACGCCCATGCAACGCGACAAGCTGCTCAAGGAGATCAACAAGGAGTTGGAGCTCGTGGAGAAGGAGTCGGTGAAGCTGCGGCAGAAGCAGGCCGAGCTGGACGAGGAGGAGAAGGAGATCGACGCCAAGCTCAAGAACCTGGAGCAGGGTGTCCTGCGCAAGCCGGATGGCCCTGGAAAGGAGGCCGCGCCCGCCAGCACGAGCACGTGGGCGGGCATCGTCGAAGAGTCGGTCGTGGCCGAGGCCACCATTAGCAGCAGCAGTGGCAGCATTGTCGGCTGTAGTGTAGGCGGCGGTGGTGCCGCCGGCTCTGTGAGGCTAGACGGACCCAAGACAACTCAACAACAGCTGCAGCAGCAGCAACAACAACAGCAGCATTCGAGCTATGCGCTAACGAGTGCCCATTTCACGCAGCCGTCGGCGTTTATTCCGTACCAACAGTCCACCTCCCACGTACCTCCGACGCTGTACCCGCAGCAGCCGGGCTACCAGCAGCTGAGCTTCCAGCAGGTTGGGCAGTACCAGCCGCAGCCGCCGCAGATGCACGGGCAGACGGCCTTCTATGGGCAGAGCGGCGTCGGCATGCCGGCTTACCAGGGCGTCGTCGCTGGCGGCGTGGGGTACTCAACGCTGCCGCACGCGCACGCCTACCCGCAGCCGTTTGCACAGCCGTACCAGGCGCAGCCGTGCGTGCAGTACCAACAACAGCAGCAGCAGCCAGTGGCGGCGTACGTCCAGAGCCAGCCGCCCGCTCAGGCACCCGCGGTTTACTCGGCAGCCGTGGCCGTGACCACGGCGCAGGCGCCGGCCGCGCCGCTCGGCAAGCATCCGACCAAGCAGACCAACTTGACCGACCTGGAGCCCAAACTGATGACCAACTACGAGGTGGTGCCAGGGCTGCCGCTGCTGGCGACGTCGGTGGCGGCGTCTTCGTCGTCGTCCGCGGCGGACCCCGCGGCGGGAGGAGGGGGCGGGCGCTACGAGCAGGCCGAGCTGAGGCTGCCGGGTGATGAGAAGGGCAGCCCCGCGTCCAACGTGTCGGCCGAGTCGTTCTACTCCGACCTGGAGCAGAGCATCCCGAGGAACTACGTGATGATCGACGACATCAGCGAGCTGACGAAGGCCTCGGCGTCCGGTGCCGGTTCGCTCGCCGGGGGCGGCAGGGATGGAGGAGCCTCCTCGCAGGTGAAGGGCGAGCGTCAGAAGTTCACGTATGAGAAGCGGCGGGCGGACGCTGCCCCCGCTGCTTCCGAGCGGCAGAAGCTGCCGCTGCAGTCGTCATCGCCGTCGCCGTACGACCGCACGGTTGACGCTCCGGCCGCCTCTTCCATCTCCTCCCAGCTGTACTCATACGACAAGGACGTGGAGCCTCTGCCGGGAGATCCCTACGAGCAGCAAAAGTGTACGAAAAACCACCACCATCATCACCAACGGTCGAAGAACAACGACGACTACGGCCCGACGGCCTCCTCCTACGGCTACGACGACGGCGACTACAAGCAGTCGGCGAGGCGCTCCGACAAGCACGGCTCGAGCCGTAACTCGTCGCACAAGCAGGTCTCACCGTCCTTCTCCTCGGCGGTCATGTCCAAGCGCGGCAAGCACAAGAAGCAGAGCGCCGAGCAGAAAATGTCGACGTTCTCTCCCATTGAGGAGTCCAACGATGGGGAGGCCGACTACGCCTACTACGGCGGTGGCGGCGGCGGCGGCAGCGGCCTGTCGTCGGGCTCCAAGGGCTCGGTGTCTTCGCGTGCTCGCAAGCTGCAAGACGACATCACCTATGGCCTCAAGAAGAACATCAGCGACCAGCAGAAGTACGGCGGCGTCTCCTCCTCGCGCAGCAGGAGCCACGGCGACCCCGACAAGTACTACGGCGGCGAGGGCCGCTCGCAGCACTCGTCGCACGCCGCCGAGCCGTACTCCCCGTACGCCCCCCCGCAGGGGCCCAAGCCGTCGTGCAAGGGCGGCAACCGGGGCTACGGCGGCAAGTACGAGTCAGACGACGGGCCCTACGCGCCGTACGGCGGCGCGGGCGTCGGTGGCGGCGGGCCATCGCGGCCGCGCTACTCGGACGCGCCCCACGCGTCATCGTCCCACTCGCGCTCCAAGTCGGGCGGCGTGGGCAAGGGCCGCTCGTGCGGGCCGGCCCAGACCTCGGAGGAGGAGGTGGTGGTGCGCAAGCCGTCGCGCGCCGCGGGGCCACCGTACGCCCCGCCGTCGGTGGCGGCCGCCGTGGCGCGAGATTCGTTCGGCTCGAGCCACTCGCTGCCCGAGGTGCAGAGGCACGGCAAGCCCGAGGCGCGGCCCCAGCGCGGCTACGAGCGCGACGCCGTCTTCATGCCCGACGACGCGCAGCACGCCATGTCCGACAGTGAAGGTGGGTTTTTCTTCCCTCCAGGCACCCATCCTCATCTAGTCTATATTTACATTGAGCCGGCTTCGCTCCAGGCGCTCTATGACACCGCTTACATAATGGCGACACAGAATGGAACGATGTAGATGGCGGGGTTGTGCTACAAGGAGTGAGGAATGAGTGACAGCGATAGAGGGGTACTTGGGGATCACGAATGGAGAAGAGGTGAGGCTTTGAGAGAGGAACGGACGGAGGTTAAGGAGGGGGACTGTATCATGTATAGGGGAAGTTTATTTTCAGCGAAGGAGAAGGACCAAATTATGGGATTGCTGCTCGAGTGGGATGGTCGGCATGCTGGACTTGCAATCCAGAGGCTGCCGGTTCGATGCAACCATTCCCATGCAGCAGTTGACACAAAGTATCGTCTGGCACAAACGAACGAGGATATACGTTCAAATATATTCTGAGCACCGAGCGCAGTGATTTTAAATGTTTTGTATTATAATATCAGGGATGCTGCTGGAGTTTAATGGTTAGAACACTGGATTTGCAATCCAGAGATCGCCGGTCTGGCCTCCTGGCATGACAGTTAAAACAGCGGTGCGATATTCAATGACAGCACAAAGTCCACGTATCCAATTCATTGCGGGAGACTAAGGCAAAGGCGAATATGTGAAAAGGTCGGATAAGTGAACATCTATACACAATGACAATTACACTGTGCACAAATACCACACTGGGTGTGGGTGGTTATTTGGCCAGGGCAGATACGTGACGCTCGAATATGTGGGATTGTACTGTAATTGGGTCTCTCACCTCTCAAGTCTAGCTTCCAAGGCTGTAGCACAGGATACTGGAAGGTAGAATCTCCCATTACATGGCACAACGGATCGCCGGGGTTTGTCTTTTTGAGACGCATTGTTAGTATTCTCGTGTCTTCTTCATATTGAGAAATTGGGAGAGTCACGAGCCTTAGAACACTTTGTTGGCGCTTTGAGTGGCAGATTTGTACCGGCAAGGCGCCATGTGTTTGAGCAAAAATAAAATTTACTTGACTATGTTGTATTACACGATTCGCTATGACATTCAACATCTAAGGCTTTTGATGTTTGAACACAACCATATTTGTTTAATTGCCATTGTGTTGTCCGGTCTGTCATGTCGAAGCAATACGTGATGAATGATTGCCGTGATCTCACGCTTCCTGTTGCCCTGATTGTGCGCGCGATATTTGTTATTGATGTTTTGTTTCATCTGCTCGTCCAACATTTTTTTTTGTTTAAACTTCACGAACAATATTTCTGGGTGATGTTTCCCGACCACAATTGAGCCATCGCCAGTTGTAAGTTTTCCCAACTTTAAGAGTACTTAAAGTATATGTATAAATACCCAATCCATTGAGATGGACCATTGACACAAAGTGGTTGCTAGCGAGCAGCTGTCGATGCTCAGCAGCAACAAACAGAATTCTGGTAGAGCGAGAACACCTCGGACTTCACCACTTTTAAATCTCCCAATGATATATATTTTTTTTATTTTAGGTCAAGTCAACCTAACAGCGAGGTCCAGGCCAGGAAAATGGCCACCTAATATGCGCGTGGTCAGGGTGGCGCTCATCTGGGCAGCACTCGCCCCCATCGGTGGCCCCAAACAGCTGGCGGAAATTCCCCAAACTCATGGCGGGAACCAGTATTGTAAAACAAAATGGGCACAATTTACTTTCCACAAAGCTGATGAGTAACGCTCCGCGTCGATTCCCGACCGGGATGTAACAATGCAGCCTTCCCCCTCTGCCAGTCTTAAGCTCGGCGAGTCGGAGCTCTCTGTGCCACCCAGGCACAAATACGTGGTGCGTTGAGAGGGCGCCTCAATAAATACATGAGGGCGTGAGGCTCGCAGACATCCCACGACTCTCACTGCTGGGCCTCAGTGCATGTGTAGTGCTTAGAAGGCGGCGCGTGCCGTGCGTTGTTGTTAATCGACCTGTTCTTGCATGCATTTGGATTAAAGAGTGGCATTTGCCTTTCGAAGCATACCACCTGCGGGGCGAGGAAACGGACTGGTTCGAGAAGCCCCCGGATGTGGCCCATCAAGAGCCAGTGGCGGCTGCCCTCCCTAAGCCACAGACGAGCGATAAACCCATCAAAGTTGGCCATGAATCAAAGGCGCCTCCCGCTAGCAGCGTTGCCAAGGTAAGCGGTCGCATGAGGGGTGCCTCGTGCCGTGAGCTGTGACGGCCGTTTTAATGCTCGGACACGGTGGGCAAGGTAGGCACCAGAGGCGCCCCGGTTTCCAAGGGGACTTGCGAGCAGCGGGAGCTTCGGTCAGAGTATTAAACGCGGCCTTGTCACGTGATGGTGCCACGCACGTGTTGGTTCCTCGGTTGCGGCGCTCTCAATTGTTAGTCACTGCCGGCGCGTTAGATTCCGTTACGAACCGTCAGGTACCGTACAGTGTTCCAGCTGCATCAATTGTGAAACAAATCACATGTAGACATTGTAGGAGTTTTTTTTGTCTATCTGTATATTTGCTCTCTGCTCATACTCAGCCCTTGTGTTTTTTCAGCAGTTTGTCCAATTGTCTTAACATTTACCCAACTGCCTGTCATTCTGTCTGTTTATTTTGCTCATATGTCCATCTGTTTATTTGTCTGCATCTGTCTGACCTCTTTCCTTTAATGTAATTTTCCTTCAATTTGTCCAATTTTCTTGGTTCTTTCGGTAAAGTCACGTAGAAGGGAAACAATAAAATAATAAAATATATATTTTTTTCCGAAAGAACCAAGAATATGAATCCCTGCAGTCACGAAAGCTTTAAATCAAAATTTGTCCAATTTCTTTATTTTCAGAAATGATTTCATTCAATCATCTGTCCATATGCTGCTCCACCCATCTAATTGCTCCGCTCTTCATCTTTTCATATGTCTTCCGATTAATTAGTCTGTCCAATCAGTCATCCCTCATTTATTTTTCTCATCGATCCATTTAAATAACCAATACAATTGTCTCCGTATCCTTTCATCTGTATTCCATGTGTCTGCATGTCATTTGGACTCTTTGTTGATCTATCTATTTATTGATGTGTCTTTCCATTCGATTGTCCATTCACTCCTCCGTCTATGCTTTTTGCCTTTTCATCCATCCAGCTGTCTGCTCACACTTAAAAGAGCTGCAAAGCCACATTGCCTGGCACTGACGTCATGTGGCACATCAAATGAATAACAGATGACGGTGTAATCAGAATTACATAATACAGAGCAAGAATTAAAAGAGCTGACCTGGAAAGCTTTGTCTACACAGCGCGGCCTGCATGACATTACAGACATTCTGAACAGACAGAAACTCCCACTAAAGGACAAGGATAAGTGGTAATTAATTAAGCTGCTTTTAAGTATTAACAAATATTACCTGTGCAACAATTGTTAAATGAACACTAATAATGGACCAGTTTAACAGGAACCATTGGAGATCTTAGATTTATTGGCACGATCTTAACTACCTCGCCTGGTATACAGGAGGTTGTGGGTTCGATCCCGACCCTGATGCCTGCTGCTGTATATTTGGAGTTTGCATGTTCTGCCTGTGCTCGCGTGGATTGTTGTCCGGGTCCTCCGGTTTTTACCTCCACATTTAGAAACATGGGTCTCAATTATGTGATTGCTATAAATGTCCACATGATACGCCACTTAGCTGAGCTATCATTTTTGATTGCCAGGTCGTTTTTGAAAAAAGAGCTTTGTAGCTCAGTGGGCCTTACCTGGTAAAATCAAACTCGTTATAATGTGGTGGGTGGCGTGTGCTTTCTCTGTGGATCGCTGCCACGCTTTCCCGCCCGGATCTCGGTTCTCAGCCTCCCTGTCCCCCACTCCATTATCGCCAGCGAGGCGATTCATTAAAGCCGTGCCCGCCTCTGGTAGCCGTGCAGCTCGGAGGTCAGAGCTCTGAGCCAGAAGCCCCCAAGACCCTGAGTGACTTCATTTGACTGCCATATCATGATAATAATACTTTTATATTACGTTTCGGAATATAATATACATAACGGAATGTAATGTAATGTACGTAATGTAATTTCTCAGATTGCGGTTTTTAGCTTAGGGGACTCCCCCTCCCCATTATATGGCAGCTGTCCCTGTGACACTATTCCAAACTCTAATCTCATAGCAGCATGTGTTGTTAAGTGTGGTAAAGTGTGCGCCCGAATGTGTTGACATAAAAGACGCCGCATGTTCGGTTTTTCACGAGTTGAGTGAACTAAATAACTAAATAACAAACATTCCCAGCCGTTAGTGCGAAATTCAAATAGCACTCTTTTTCTCATGCCGTGATGTTGATCACGGGGCTAAATATACGATTGGGAGAAAGAGGACCAAAACGTCTCTAACCCTGCCGACCAACTGATGCGCAGACCGTTGTGACCAGCCACGACATCCATAAACCACCATCGGCCGATTATTTTCGTGATGTTCTATCCCATCGATGTTTCCCACTTGGCAAAATAAGTTGGCATTTAGAGATATCTAGTTTCCAGTGCTTCTTTATTTTGGATTGGCTGGGTCGTGTCACCTGTCATTCCCTTCCCCGCATGCCCAACTTGTTCACGTTTGGCAGGATAGAGGGGTTTAAACAGTCACGGCCCAGGCTAGAGAAGAGACGGGCTGGAGTGGTACAGGAGGACTTGGGGGCTGAATGGAATGGCTGACGGCTGGCGACGGCAACCTCAAGATTAGCCTTTGTGGACGAGGCTCCTTAAAGATGCTACTGGGCACTTGTCAGCAGCCATCCTCCAGTAGCGATGCTCACAGCTTTGAGCAGTGCACAATGGAGAATTTGGATGCTGCATCTGCCAGGCAGCTGAGGAGCCCTACCCGGTTGTTTTTACGCTGCAGAACCCCAAGCTGTGCTGCTGGCAGCACACGCAGTGAATTTGCGACGTCAGCATGACACTGTCTGGTGGACTGACTGATGCAACCTGTGACAAAAATAATTTGCACCAACCCAAATCCGTAACCGGGATGTGAACCTGCAAACTGCTAACCACAGCTGCTACCCGGCTACATCGTTCTCGAATGGCATATGCAATAGCATCACACTCCTACAATTACCTAAACTGCAATTAGGCCAGGAGATGAACAATATTTTTAGCAGTGTATCGCAAGAGGGCTGGAACATAAATGTATTATTAATAGGGCAGTGTTAATAACATACTTGGTGACTTTGCCATTTAACTGGCAAGTCCGTGTTTTCATTGTATTTGTGAATAGTTAGCGTGGTAGGTTACTAACAATCGCCCTGCAATGTGAATGTCTCCCGTGTGGTTCAGCCACTGAGCTCTCAGATGGCCGTGACCCCCCAGCCCATCCCGACCCCTCAGCCCATCCCTGCCCCACAGCCGACGCAGCCCCCACATCAAGAGGCTCCTCGTAACCGGCCGATAATCCAGCCCGTGCCCAAGATGACCACAGTGACAGGTAATGCGCCGACTTCGCATACGCATTCGCGTGTGCGTGTGTGTGTACGCGTGTGTGTGTGTGTGCATGCGTGTGTGTGTGTGCATGCGTGTGTGTGTGCATGCGTGTGTGTGTGTGCGCGTGTGCGTGTGTGTGTGGGGAGCGGTAGTGTGGCGGTTAGCGCGTTGCACCCCGAAGCCGGCGAGCCGAGCTCGATTCCCGCTCACGGCCAATATCGGTGTCGATTATCTTGAACCTGTCCTGGGCCTCCCCTAGGTCGACTTATCCTCAACTGGTGCAGTGTGTACACATCATAGCAAGATCGCAGCATTACACGAAGCTGCGTTGGAGTTAACGTGCGGTGTTAAGTCTCGGCAGAGCGAGTTGTCGTCGTTCACGAGCCCAGTGGGTGATGGTAAACGCGTTGCTCCATCAAAGAGGAGGGAGATGACGGCCGTGCGCTTCGTAAGTGCGGCGACTTTGGCCACAGTGCTCGGGTGAATTATGCGGTGTGTGTGTGTGTGTAAAGGCACTTGGCAACGCAATACACGGATGCTGGCGATGATGGGCCGAGCTCTCCCGTTGACCAGAATTTGAACTTTTGCAGCCTTCTAGTTGTGAATTGAGCAACCTGGCGGCGGCAGCACCCGGCCAGATGTGTAATGTGAGTGGTGCAGTGTCGGCGACGAATACATTCTCGCATTGATTGTATTTCTCTTCCGTTTGCCCACCGCCCGCTTGGGCAGGCAATGGTATAGGAGCCAAGGCGGCACCGCCCGCCATGGGTAAGGACGGTGGCACCGCTAAGGATCCAGAAATCGGAGCCTACATCAATAAGATCATCCCGGGAGCGGCGGCGGAGCAGGCTGGCAAGCTGGGCGACGGTGAGCGGCGGCGGCGGCGGCGTCATACGCGCTGTTCTAAAGCAAAGCGATCTGCGTGGCGGTGACCTTCGTGGCCTGCAGGGGCCGGTGAGCCCGTAGCCTTTGGTCAAGGTCCTGGCCTGGGTGCGTCTCGCTGGGGCGGTGCCAATGTGAGGGCACGGAGCCATCGCCACTCAGGGCTTGGCTGCTTGGTGCTGAGCCAGCATCGCCGACGTCCCCGGGTTCTAAGGCGTTGGGCCGGGAGCACCTTGGGGGAGCGATGCTCATGACCGGGCAGCACGGCCGAGATGTTGGCTTCTCCTCGGGGAGTGACTCTCATGCCTTAGCAAAGTGCTGCCGAGGTCTTGGGTTCGAGACTTTGGGCCGATGTTTCTCGCGTGGGTGATGCTTAGGGTCGGGACACTTGAGGTCAACGCTGCTTTCCCACCCACGGACCTGTTAAAATATTCTCGTAGACAGCTGGTCTGAGTGGCATCAGCACAGTCACATGATTAATGAACAAAACTAAACTGGAAAGAGCCAACGACGTTCAGAGTCAAAGTGTCGCCCTGCTTTAACGAAAACGTGGGATGGCACTCGTCCGAGTTGGTGTCCCTGAGGCAATGGATACAATTCCACATTTCCATGGTGGAGGCCAGGCAAACATCGGGTCGGGCAGTGAGTGCCAGCATACATTTTGGGAGGTTTTGTAGCTTAAGACTTTCTGAAATTACTATCTGGAGCTTTTCAAATGTGCTGAATCCATATCTGACATCCGATTCTCATTCACTCCACATACTGCATTACTTTTGGTAGAGTGTTATTCATAACAGGGTCCAACAGTCAATCATACATCCGGGAAGAAATGCTTTAGAACATTGCACGTATGCACATTGTACACAGCGAATGCGTTTTGTCATTCCTTTCATGTAGCGTTTGACAGCGAGTCCACAATTTTCAAAACTATGCACATACTTTCGGTGTGGAAACTGCAAACAAATAATTGGCAATGATTCACTCCACTGGCAGGAGAAATATGAATGATGTATTTACATTTAAATCGTACAAATACAATATTCATAAGCTCTGTCACTATGCAGCAAGCCAGGAGTTAATTCATATTTAGTGAAGTGTTGGTGAATGTTGTGGTAAGTCCAATGTATTTGATATCTTGCACATTGACCTCTGAGCTATCTAGTGCATGTGGAGAATTCTGGAAAGTACATACCGGGATAGGGTAGGAAACTCGGATCGGATATCTTGGAATAAAATTTAGGAAGAAACATTCGTCTGGAAAAGCATTTGGTAGAAAAGTATTGCTGTTTTTTTAGGAGAGTAGGTTGTCGTGGGTGAGGAATGTGTGCAGCACAGATGAGGACTGGTTACAATGAGAGGCGTGGGGTCGCACGGATGAGGCATGGCATGGCACCCAGAGATGGGTCACCAAGGCGGAAGACCTAAAACCAGATCGTGGGAGACTCTTAAGAACATACATTAAAGGTCATGTGTGACAGGAGAAAGTGACAGATGATCTGAACAAGCGGAATTTCTCTATACATCTCACATTTTTTGGAGAACGGGGTGTTGGTGGCTAACGCTCGGATTTCGTGCGTGCCTTCCAATCTGCTGAGCTCCGAGGTGTCTCGTGAGATGCCAGTGCAGTAAGTCTGCCACTGAGCTGTCCGTGCAGATTTCGAGCTCTTTACCCCAATAAGACTCTGCGTTTTCTGCCACGCTCAAAACACATTCAACAAATGGCCTAAGATCTTAATGCGTATGTAAAGGTGCATGCCTACAATTGCTTACCCAAGCCACTGTGTTCGGAAGCGCCTCCACGAGAGGGAGCTCTCGAGATCACCTCTAGAGGGTATTTTAGCCGACTTTTCCTTGCAGGCCAGATATCCTATAAGAATCAAATCGGAAAATAATGAGAAAATCGCATCAAAGCCAAACAATAGTCAGTTTTAGAGTCTTGTTTGAAGCTCGTGGGTTTTCCGGCATGCATTATGTGCCCTTTTATGGGGTTTCATCGTCATTTTAAAAGTTTCATTATTATTGGCATAAGCCGAGATAATTGTCCCCCCATAGTCTGGCCGTGGGGACTCCACATCTACAGATCCCAGAGGCAGACTTTGCACCAGTGAACGTTGGCGACTGTACTAATAATGACGAAACTGATCTCCAGTGGTCTCTCCCCGTGTCAGTACTGCCTCTGCTGCTGTCAGTTGGTCAGATCTGCTCAAATGCATTTTTATGGGACCTTCGACAAGAGGACCAGAATGCACCTCATCAGGAACAGCTGATGGTCTTTTTGCAATAATGAGCCAAGGCGGAGAGCCGTTTAAATACTCCGCAAGAGGTGGGAGGACCAGTCACACCTTTGACTCACCACTTGCCACCTTCCGTTCAACTAACAATGCCGTACCTATTTGTACGGCTGGGTGGCCGGGTTCCAGTGGAATTAGGGAATTTAAGACATTCCCCATTGCTTTTAACTACCTCACTGGGAAATCGATCAAACCTCTTGGATTGCAAGTCCAGTGTGTGCCCTCTTTGATGCAGTACAGGCAGCATCTCCATGAATCGACTACATTCCTTTAAGAAAGGGTCTCGTGACATGGTGAATCTTTGTTAGAAAAATGAAGGAGGTTTTATTTCATATTCTTAGCTCTTTCGGTAAAGTCATCATCAGGTGATGACCGTTTGTGTTATGGTCGAAACGTCGTGAGAATTTTTATTGTTTTATATATATTTTATTATTTCATTGTTTCCCTTCCACGTGACTTTACCGAAAGAGCTAAGAATATGGATTACTGCAGTCACGAAAGCTTTAAATCAAAATTTAGGTTTTATATCGTAAGTGTGCCCCCAAGATCATCTTCAATAATACATGTAGGTAGCGCCTTCTCTCCTGGCACTTCTTCTCAAGCCACCCTTGGTCGTTTTTATATTCCATATCCATTTATTTAGCGAGGCAGATTTCAAAATGCCGACATCTCACGCAAGCATGAAAACAATATATATTTATTTTTCAAAGTATAGAAACGAATGCAATCACAGAGCCCCAGGGATAAACACTCGTGATTTCTTACGCACTACAGAGCACCTCAAAATAGCCACTGCTGTCATTCTCCTGCTCCTTCCTCCCCTCACCCTGCCACTTGCGCTCACAATATGTTCTTAGCGTCGCTCTTAAGTCTCACCCCCCCCCCCCCCCCGTCCAGCATCTTCAATCTTGTCCCCGCTCCATAACGAGATAATGTTCTAACAAGCTGCCATCTGCAGCGCGCTTGTTAATAATGCAGCAGGCTCCTGGGCCATTAGTGAAGAGTCCTGGCTCTGGTTTTGTGCCTCTCGTGCAGATGCACTTCTGCGGTTTTACGTCTGGTCATGAGAGCAGAGGAAAATGCGTCACGTTTAAATCACTGTTATCGTTTGGCGTTGTCTACACACTGCTGGATGAAAGCCTTTGCCATGAACCAATCCCATCACTCGGTCCAGTGGCTTGTCGTTCCCTCTCTCTCGTGGATGTGATGCCTGCTTGCGCTCGTTCTGTTACGCGCCGATTGTTTTTTAGGCTTTGATATTTGTTCTGAAAGTCATTGAACAATTTTAATCTTGTAATCGAGTCACATCGCAGCTTAATTTGAGCTGTTATAACGATACTAATATTAGAACAATTTATAACGTGCCCTTTGTCACGAAAAGGCATTTTCAGTCGCAACTCCAGAGGCTCCGTGGAGTCTGGCTCAGGGTGTCGTCTCCCCTACGCCCGACTTGAACAAATGAGCGGTCTGCAACTGTCTTTTTTATGATTATAAATGTTTTGTTTATTAAACAAGAGCCCGATGCAAAGCCCCGAGGCCAGATGGCCACGGGGCAGGGGAAAGGGAAGGTGGTTGGGCTCACTGCCCTCCTACTCGCGTCGGGGCAACGCTTGGGATCTTGGTATTTTAATGAAGGATGGGGAGATCGGGCAAACGGGAGGATCCTCAGCTGTCTCTTAAAAGTGGTGGTGGATTAGCTGCTGCTGCTGCTACTGTGTGTGTGTGCAACACCAGTGACGATTATCTGAACCGGTCCTGGGCCTCCCCTAGGTCGACTCAGCCTCAAATTAGTACCTGATGCGGTGCGTAAAAATATCGCCACTGGAGAGACAAAGGCGACTGGGCGTGGTGCTGGCCACCCACCCCCTTGTGTGCCGTTCTCGCCTTCATAGGTGCTCGCTAACAGCACTTACCTCAACAGTCTGTTAAGGCTATATGGGGGATCTTTGTCTTTTGTGTGAGTGGGATGTAAGTCTACAATGATTGGAGCAGCCCTGGAAAAATGGCGCTCTGCCAGGACAGTCTTCGTGTGCTGCTGAGAATGAGCCATCCCTGTGTCTCTAAACTATTTTTCTGAAGCGACCTGGCCACAAATAATGTTTCGCAGCCAAATGCTCTAAACGCGTGATGTTGATTCTAAATGTAGAAGAAACATGCAAACTCCATATATACAGGCGTTAGGGTCAGGATTGCATCCACGACCTCTTGTATACCAGGCGTGGTAGTTAACATCTCACCACTACGGTGATAGTTTACAAACATTTTCTGTGTTGTATTTTCCATCGTCACTGTACATTGAATCATTGGCTTGGGCTTTATTGTGCAGAACAGCATGCCAACGGACATACAAAATCTGTATCATGAATATCCTGAGAATAGGTTTTCCCCTTTTTTCTGGCAACAAAATAGGTGTCAAGATGCTAAAACACCAAACTGAAACCTTTTACAAGGAATCATGTCTACATTCACCACAATACTTGTGGTCAAAATGAATCAGACATGATTCCTTGTTAAAGGTTTCAGTTTGGTGCTTTAACAACTTAACGCCTATTTTGTTGCCAGAAAAAAGGTTAAACCTAGTCTCATATTTTGGTACTGGCAAAGGAGGTTCCATGTTGTGAGCATCCTCTTGGCATCTCAGAACTCATCGCGCCTGCTGCTGTACTGCTCGCTGTAAAAGGTGACACTCTGCTC